ATAGATAGATAGATAGATAGATAGATAGATAGATAGATAGATAGATACTTCATTACTTTATTCATCCAGAAGCAAATGAAAGCATTCGGCTGATACAAAAATGCACAAAGGCAGATTGGTATGAACTTAAATGAAAATAGTCAGGAGCAATATAATACCCAGTGGTGAATGTAAGTATAAAAGACTAAATAGAAAATGTGCTTATGTGAAAACCGTTCTGAAATAGACATGAATATGGGTTTAATCATGATCCTCCCTGGCCACTCAGGGAAGAGTTGGACAGTCTAATGGCCAGGGGCAAAAGATGTGTTAGTGGAGCTCCTCCTCCGTGCCTCATCAGTCAGGTGGAGTTCAATTTTGTAATCTAGAGTTTGTGAATTAAAAGGCAAAAGTGCTAAATGTATGTAGATCATTCCACTAACTCTAAATGGCCAGACTCGGTAGTGATCGACTTTGATAGGTTTGAAAACGAGGGTGCTAATCACTATGGCTGCTCTCTGGTTTGGGCTTCTGATTATCCCCTAACCAGTGCTGATGGAGCTGTCAGACAGCCGTTAGCAGATCGGGGCAGAATAAGGCACTCAGCTGGCACTTTTGACACCACAGATGGCTTTTTATGATGTTGTCTGTTACGACTTCCTGTGATGTCACTGACGGCTGCAAAATGGCAGCCGCAAAAGTGGGATTTTTGCCCTCACGCTTCCATCCTCGTCATTCATTTTCCATCCCACAACATGTAGGCAGCATGCATCAGTATGATCATTAGTATGATTTTTTTTGGTAAACCCGTATTGAGTTCAAATACAGCACGCTTATAGAAGCATGTTGCTCCATCTTGGCCACAAAATGCCACGGCCGTTTCGAGACAGGCGTCATTAAGTCGAGCTAATCATTTGCTCGGTGTCCCAGATTCAGTGTTTGCTGAATGCCCAGGGCCTGTAGGCTGCCGCACCAGGCTCAGCCTGCACACGCAGACTAATGAAACATACGGCATTGTAAAGGAAATGACCCTGTCTGACTCACGGCCCGCTTTTTAGAATAGTCCCGACAGCCAGCTTGTCAAATATAAACCCGGTGTCCACCTGAAATGCAATTACACAATTCCAAATGTGTGCTCTTTTTATTCGGCCGGCTAGGTTGTCAAACTGCGTGGAATTTGAACAGAAGCCTCTCACCCCCCCCCCCGCTGCTTTGAGGGGGGAAAAAAAAAACATGAGTCACAAAAGTTGTTTTAATTAGGACACAACCCGGGGCTGAGCGGGAATGACCTGGTCAGTCAGGGCCATGTCATCCGCTGCTCCTTTGTTGGCCAACACCGGACTCGCATTCTGGCCTTTCCCCCTCTGGACTGTCGGGGTTGTGTAGTTATCGCATTCTAACACGCATTCTGACTTCAGAAACCAGAAAACATTCTGTGTCTGGCTCCAAAAATCTGCATCATTTGCGGCAGCTGTTTTAAAATGTTTCTCAGTTTGGGTGATTATGGACCTTTTTGATCATAAAAAAAGTCAAACCCTTCCATCAGCAGGGGATGTATGAGCTTCTGCATCAGCGGTTACAAGATTTCCTGCCACCCCCGTTACTGCCACCTTTTCTAAAACATCAGCTATTTGCTGGTATTGAACCCTATAGTGCCATATGTATCATATTTGATGCATACATTTTTTATTTGCATCATTTACTGCTAAAAACATCAGATATTAAACACCAAAACGTCAGATATGCCTGATAACAGCGGGCAGAAGACTACACCACATTCATTTGATCTGAGCTGCTAAGATCAGTCTGCAGATATTTTGACATAACAGAAGCAACAAATGAGCCAGTTCTTGATGTACTCTATTGTTATTGGATATGTGGGAAGTAAAGAGAAATGTCTTCATTAATAACAAGATGATTTTTTGTAATGTAGATAAATGAAAAAGTCAAGTTTTAATTGGTGGTAATGTGTTTCTGTTGCAAGGCTTGGAGCACAGATCACTTTTTAAGTGGATAACCAGCAAGTCAGTGAGATATCCAGAATCTAATTATTTGGTTAATGACAATAATAGTAATAATAATAATAATGATAATAGGTCATGACTGCTGTGCATTGTGCAAATGAAATGATGACATTTGAGAAAAAAAACCCTACGTGCCGCTGCACTGTGACTGATAACTGGTAGGATGTGTTGCGACTAACAAGAATGTTTTTTTTTTCACCTAGAAAGAACATTTTGTGAGAAGCGTTTCTAAATCATTGTCCCTGATCTGTTTTGTGCAGCTTTTTTGCATGATGTCAGACGCTTCTATGATGAAGTTTCTATGTGAGGTCTGTGACTCACATTGCAGATTGAATCTAATTTGACTCCACAGACTGACTGCACAATTGAAGATAATAAAAAGAAAAACAGGAGTGCGGGTTTCTTGGCATGATTCTGCCGTGTGAGACAACCCCGGGTTAATTTAGCCCTTTTTAAATCGGACTGGGCTGAATTATTAAGTTATTGCTAAAGAGCTACTGAGACTTGAAAAGCGACTGAGATTTCGCCAACAAAAGCAAATTATTGAGACTCTACAGGGGCCGTGGGTTATTTTTAATATTATTATCTCGAAAAGTCATTGTGCCATGTAGTAAAAGTGCCGACTTGAGAAGGGGGAAGCCACCAGCGGGCTATGAGGCTTACCGTAGAATCAACAGGTGGTAAATGTGGTTATACATACTGACCGGGCTAATCCCTCTTGAACCCTCTTAGCTGGCTAATTTGTCTCCGTTATCCTCTTTCTTCCTCCTCCTCCTCCTCCTTCTCCTCCCCGTCTTCCTCTCTTTACAGGTCAGCACAACTACCTGTGCGCCGGCCGAAACGACTGCATCATCGATAAGATCCGGAGGAAGAACTGCCCGGCCTGCCGATTCAGGAAATGTCTCCAGGCCGGCATGAACCTGGAAGGTAACCAGTCCGAATGGGGGGTCCTCGAAATAAAATAAAATAAAAGGCCACTCTCATGGCCCCCGGTTTTAACCCCAAGACGTTTCACTGCCTTCAAATGCTACCTTTTTTTTTTTTTTTTCCTTTTTATATTGGTCAGGGCAGCATTCCCGCCGAGACACGGTTAAGGATGATGCATGAGAGCAGGGGAGGTGGAGATTATTTAAGATCAGGAAACAGACTGCTGTCAGACGGCCGTACTGTTCAGTTCTGAGTCGGGTGTGTTAGACAGCTGGCTGTTTCTCCACATCAACAGAGAGAGGGCGAGCCATGAAAAAAGGGGAAAGAGGGACTTGATGGGCGTCCGCAGACAGGCTTCCATCTGAAAGGCTTGTAGTTTCCATGGAAACCGCTCAGAGAGGAAATAAAAAAAAAAGGTAGTGAGTAGGGGAGGCGTGCTCTTTTCATGGTAACCTCTCAGCATCCGATGTGTGCTTCAAAATTTAGCTTTAAAAAAAGGCCCGAACGATGGAAAAGGAACGCACAACACGGCGAGGGTTGGAGAAGTTTAGGCTGCATTCAATTTAATTCATTTAATCAAGATGGTCAATATTTTCAGAAGCCTAAATTTATTTATTATTTAAGAAAGATAAAGGCAATTTAGTGGTTCACCGATTTCAGTTTATACAAGCTTTTAATTCAGAGAGTTTGAAAATATTCGCATTGTCCCTCCTGGCTCCTAAAATGAGTAAAAAGCTAACTAAAAAAACCCAGACATGATTTATTACCATGCGTCAATCTGAATCAGCTTTCATTTTAAAGAGTTATTTTCTCCCTCTTGATGAAAACGTTGCATTAGTCCATTGAGAATCACAGCACTAGTTCATGCACGGCTCACTTAATGACCCCCCGTTTGGATTTCTGTCCCATTCTCCGGTCACTTTAGGGTCTATTTGTCGTCCTGTGACATGACTCAATTTTAGCCGGGCTTCGGCCGGTCGCACAGATGGCCTGGCGTTGGTCACAGGGATACTTTAGTAGTTCACAGCGAGCGCCCACTGCGTGTCCAGTGTCCCGCGGCTGCGAAAAAACCGGCCCGACCCGCTGGATTTCGACAGGAAGTAGCGGGTGTTTGTGCTCACTGACATGCTGGCTGGGCCGCCCAATGTCACCCTGTGTGTTATGGCCAAACATTTACACTTTGGGCTCATCCGTCTAAAGTACATTGTTCCAGAACTCTTGTGTTTTCTTGGCCTTTGGCAGCTTGAATGCCTAAGGTCAGCAAACTGCCCCAGGCTTCACGCTCATGGAGGTCTAGTCACCAAACCCACTCCTCTCTCTCTCACACATCATGTCTGCAATTTAAGGCTCGGCTTTTATTAAAGTAATACAGACAAAGTGTAATGTGTGCTCTGTTTTATTTATTTTTTCTCAACTGAGCCCATTTTCAGACCAGATATGTAGTAGATGATTAATCTAGCCCTGATATAAAAGTCTGTGCAACCATCAGGCTGAGCCATTGGAAGCTATTACAAAATCCTCTCAGATTAAATGATAAATCAAGAAAAAAGAAAAAAGAAAAAAAAGGGTCAGAATGTTGACACAGGAGTGAATGTTTAATGAAGCTCTATGATTGAAATACCGGTTTTTCCTGATTACCCTCAGTGCGTTCGGGGCCTTTTACGTCTGGCTTTTTCTGATTTCCGAGTGGGGAATACGACATTTTTTTTCTTACGCTATCAATTATTACCCCGTTGTAGGAAGAAAAACGGACCACTCTTAATAATGAAAATCATTTTTTTTCTTTTTTCCACAGCGAGGAAAAACAAGAAGCTGATCAAGATGAAGGTGTCGCGGCCGTCCGGCTCCCCGGAGCCGGTCAGCGGCCTGCCCGTGCCGGTCATCCCCCGGAGCGTGCCCCAGCTCGTGCCCACCATGCTGTCCGTGCTGAAGGCCATCGAGCCGGAGATCCTGTACTCGGGCTACGACAGCACGCTGCCGGACACCTCCACGCGGCTCATGACCACTCTGAACCGGCTCGGGGGTCAGCAGGTCATCTCCGCCGTCAAGTGGGCCAAGTCGCTGCCAGGTAACGGAGAGGCCCCGGCCGGCGTTTACGAGCATTTACGAACGCACGGAGATGACCAAGACACACCTTTTAAAGCTCAAGGCGCACGGCCGCTTGAATTTCAGATTTCCACGCTCATCGCGGGGTCGACCGGTCACTGCGGCCAGTCCCGTCATTATTCTGTTCTGTTCCCAACAAAGAAGGGAACTGTCGTGATTAGAGGAGGCGTTAGGACCTTTTTTTTAATCAGATCAGCTGACTCAGCAGGGTTCTGCTGACTTAGACTCCCGTTTGAATGCAGGAAGCGCGATTGTTCATCGTCCGGCTGATGGAATCACGGTTAGGCCCGCGGCCAGCTACTTATCTTAATTGGAGCGACAAAGAATATCAGATATCGAGGCAAACTTTTTCTTTTTTTTTTTTTTTTCTGTTTGCCAACTGCTCTGCTTTGCCAGTAGAAAACAGATGTTCATGAAGCATGTGATAAAACGTGTGACCTGTGTAATTACATGGAAGTGAGGGGTAATGGAGGCTGATGAAAGAACAGTTCATCGTAGAAATCCGGAGTGCCTTGACTTTAGAAAACAAAGTGGATACCACTGCTGACATATGTTGTCCCGCCGAGGTCATTAGTCTGGAAATCTCCCATGTTTATCTGTAAGCAGTTTACATCGTTGCTTTTAAAGGTGTTTATGTACTTAAACAACACGAGCAATTCTAGGCCTTCCGTTTTATAAGCTACTCATACTATGAGTTATGACAAAGGAATTAATGTAAAGTCTTCTCATACTGAATTCTTTTATTTATTCATAGAATGAGGCTTATTATAAAAGAAGAGGAAAGTGTGTATCAAAGCAGGAAAGGCTTTGCAATGCACATTGGTGTTACAGGTGGTAATATTAGTAGCATTTAAGCATTTGTACACTTTATGTTTGTCAGAAATAACCTAAATTTAAGTAAATTTAAGTTGTAAAAAAGAATTCACTAGAACGAATGATTATGAGTCCATAAACATCTATGGAAATACTTCAAAGCCGGTTGTATTTCCGTGGTCTGTGCTCATGAGAAAGAAGGCACATGACTTGATAATCACCCCAAGTATTTAAGATCATATTACTTCAGTGAATACCTCCGATTAATTTTTTTTGCCCATGTGACTGTAATGAGGGACAAATCTACCCTCAGAATTTTTGTGTCTTTGTGTGTGCGTGGTGTGATGCTGGGGAAAAGCCCCTTTGGGGGAGGAGGTTGGCTCTAGCGTAGCTTAAATATGGTTTAAAGCAGATATAAAGTAAAAGACCTTTCGTGTGCGGTTTTCTGCAGTTGTTTTGACAGAGTAGAAACATTTGAACTGCAATTCAAATTCAATTTGGACACCGACTTAACCCGATTTTTGCGTCTCTCCCTCCTCCTTTCTTTTTGGTTTTTTTCTACCTTGGCTGGCTTTGTTATGTTGTGGTGATTAGCACTGTGGCCTCACAGCTGGAAACCTCAGCTCTTTCTGCGTTTAATTGAGATGTCTGTAAATGGGCGGGTCCCTCAACACAGTCCAAGCACACAGATGTTCAGTGAATGTATCGTAGCCCAAAAGATTTGAGTGAAACTGTCGCGATAATGGTGCGTTTCTGTGTTAGAACTTTACATTTATATTCAGTTCAATATTCTCTAGAAAGCTGTTTTTAATCATCAATAGATTTTGCCATTTGCAAACCTCCAGTTTATACATAAACACAATTTCTTACAGTATTTTATCTTCTGTTAACTCTCTCACTTTGCTCATCCTGCTTGGTTATGAGGTGAACATTGTTTCTAGACGAATGTATTTGTTCTATTTCATGACTTACCCAATGGTTTTGGTCTAACCAGGTTTCTCTGACCCTCTCAGGCTTCCGTAACCTGCACCTGGATGACCAGATGACCCTGCTGCAGTGCTCCTGGCTCTTCCTCATGTCCTTCAGTCTTGGTTGGAGGTCCTATGAGCATTGCAACGGCAGCATGCTCTGCTTCGCCCCCGACCTCGTCATCAACAAGTGCGTCCAAGGCCAGCCGTGCACGTTTGAGTGATCTTTCCTTCATCATGACGTAGTGTCAGCCAGATCTGCTTTGGGTTTGCTCATTTCAGTTAATCACCAAGTGGCTGTGATTGCCCTTCTTCTAGTTGCTAATCAGATGGTTTGGAAAAAGGTAGAAGTGGTCAAGATATATTTAAAGGAGTGACATGCTCAAATGTTAGCATTTGTAAAGCAATGCAAACTCACTGTACAAAGAAAAGAGGAATAAGAAAGACTCAAACATTAATAAACTCTAGCGGAAAGCATCAACTTGGCAAAAAAAAATCTAGAGAAAAGCTTTACCTCCATGCTTCTTGATGCTGCTCACTGATAAACTGAATTACAGGAAGAGAGGGAAAAAACTCAACTTTCTTTCTAATCTAATGTACCTCGTTTCGTTTTCCTGTTTTGGTTCCAGTGCTGCTCAACAACCGTCACATTTCTTTTGCCTTTTCCTTTTTGTCCTTTTGTCCAGAGACCGCATGAAGCTGCCCTACATGAGCGACCAGTGTGAGCAGATGCTGAAGATCTGCAACGAGTTTGTGAAACTGCAGGTGTCCTACGACGAGTACCTTTGCATGAAGGTGCTCTTACTGCTCAGTACAGGTAAAGAAAAAGAAAAAAAAGAAAATACAGCTTTTTTAAAAGCAATTACAAAGATGCAGAACAGTTTTTTTTTTTAAAAACATAGATCAGTAACAAGGTTTAATGTTTTTGTTTTGGGCCACGTGTGGTTTTTGACCCTACGAAAATAACAAATTGTGTCTGAAATGATGTTAAATTACTTGCATAATTTACTGCTCCTTCTAAATCAAAGAACTCTCACGGATGTGGAAGTGTAGCTCGTCTTCTTTCCTCACTGCTTTAACCTGGTGTGTTACGGAGAGCCAATTTCCTCCCTATTAACAGGACGAGCACGGGGGGGTCAAGCAAGAGTTTTTGACTTGTTGCACAATCAGCGCAAATTGCTTAAATAAGGGCAAGTCATGAAGAAACCCATTACAACACAACCTTTTTTTTTTTCCTCATTTTGGAACATTTCGGCTTCGCTGGCTGGAAATTGCATTCGGGCAGATTTATCGACCTATTCTGAACGTACTTTTAAATGGATGTGATTTGCACTTTTCAAAAAAACAAAACAAGAAAAAGCACAGATTAGGGAGGGCCTTTTGGGGAAGGACTGACTGTAACTCGGCTGAATGAAAAATGTAAATCACAAGCAGCCTTCCTTCCCCATCTTGCTCAAGAGAGAAAACACTAAGGTCTGTGGACGGCCAGTCTCTTCCGGTGGTCAAGTGTCCTTGAAATCCTGCCAGGAAACGTCAGGCAACATGTAAACCGTATCGATAAATGACAGTTTTCTTTTGTAAAGTAACATTTGTTGAGGGGCTGACTGTTTTTCTTTGCCTCATTCCCGCGGCCTGGCGGGGAAAAAAGGATGCAGTTTGGACACATTTGCTCATCGTGAAGAGGAAATTACAATTCCATACTGAGCACTGTTGCATTTTTCTACCTGAGATATTTCCATCTCTTCCCTTAAAAGGATGGAAAAACTATCAGGACGGTTTTGGTTCTCGCTTTTCATCATTTCTCCCAAACGTTGGCGCTACCGAAACCCATGGGGTTCCTCTTAAGTTCAACCTTTTTTTTTTTCTTTCACTTTTAAATCCACATTAAGGTGGATTTAAATGTCACACAAGATGGTTGCAAATGCTTTTGAACTTTTTATACCCAAAGTCGTATTGAACTCGGGTGTTGGCTGTAAAAAAAAATAATAATAATAATAATCTACAAAGAGAGCAGGGTATTTTAAGAATGGTGAAAACTTAAGGCGTTTTCAAATGCATAGGCAGTATAATCCAATTTTTCCCTGTCACAACAACAGGATTTCAGCTGGAGATGAAATGGGAGCACATGATCTTTATTTTTTCCCCCTTAAATACTCTTAAATGGTCTCGCCCACTGATTTTCTGTAGATTTTCCTTCTCCCGAAACGTTTCAGGACTCCAGTCAAAACAGCTGCAGACAGTTCGGAGAGCTTCCACTCGGCAATGTCTCTCGTTTATTTGATTATGTAAATCTGACAGTATGTCGTGCCCTTTGTGGCTTTGCATAATCCCTGCAAGTGACTGTGGCTCTGTGAGGGCCCGGTGCCATGCGGCCGGCTAACAATGAGCCCATGCATTCACGTGGCCATGACGACTGGGTTTTGATATGGTTCCGTGAAGTGTTTTTGTTCCTAAATAAACAAAAAAAAGAAATAGGTCCACGTTTGTCGTTTGTCACGTGGAACACTGCGATGGTGAATTGTCAAGTTGAACGTTGGAAATTCAAATGAGTTTTCATCCTCCGGTGCTGTTTGTGGCAGCAGGGAACAGGACAGACTAAAGAAAAATGGCCGCGTTACGGCTGGATGTCCGGTTCCAGTCGGTTTCACCAGCTGTTCACGTCACAAGCTGCCCAGATGGCAGATTTAAAAGATAATTGACAGAATAATATACTCCAACGATAATCTGCCCACCAAGAAGAAACAATGCGGATTTCCAAAGAGAACAAGTTTCCGTTTTAAAGCCAGATTACCCAACAGAAATAGACAATTCTCAAATGTGCAGTGGATGCTCTGAAGCTTTGTCAAAATGAAACTGCTGACTGGCCGCTTTGTACTTTTGTGCGCAGTGCCGAAAGACGGCCTGAAGAGCCAGGCGGTGTTTGACGAGATCCGGATGGCGTACATCAAGGAGCTGGGAAAAGCCATCGTCAAGAGGGAGGAGAAGTCGAGTCAGAACTGGCAGCGTTTCTACCAGCTAACTAAGCTACTGGACTCCATGCAGGAGGTTAGAAGTGCACGCACACACACACACACACACACACACACACACACACACACACACACAC